ACCTATCCCATCGATGGGAACCCAGCGATGGTAAGGGTAAACCATCGATGGGAAGCCATGACCGTTGTAGGTCATTTAAGGTTGATTCTTTCCTTGTTTGGAAGTCAACCTCCCAACCAGCGATGGGAAGCTTGTACCCATCGATGGGTAGGTGACCGTTGACTTCAAATCTGAAGGAAAATTGGCTTACCAGCGATGGTAAGTCCTAAACATCGATGGGAAGCCAATATTCTGCAGATCCCAAATTTAATCAATCCCATAAATCAAGCTAATCACCCCTTTAATGCATTGGTCCGTTGGAGCCTATTTTTGCACTATAAAAAGGGGTGTTTGGGTCTGCTTTTCTTACCAATTCACTTCAAAACATCTATACTTTCATTGCATTCAAATATCATCATTTTCCTTAGCTTTCTAAAGCCATTTTTGTGTGAAGGTTGAGTTGTTCTTGAGCGTACTTAGTTTACTCAAAATCTACTCTATAAGAGAGTCTCGTTCTTGAGTGTACTTGTGTTCTTAGACACGTTGAGAGATAGTATCTCTCTTGGTTGATTCAAAGGAAGGTCTGTTTCCTTTGAAGGATTCGTCGAGGTTCGTGTGACTCGAACTCTCAAGTTGTAACGGTTTGTTAAGCACCCGCAAGCTTAACGAGATAGTAGTGTAGCTCGAGAGAGTCTCTCGGGAGGCTGGATTAGCCACAAGTTGTGGTGAACCAGAGTAAAATTCGGTGTGCCTTTTTCTCTTCTCTTTCCTTCTCTTTTATTTTTTTAATTCCTGCGATTTCTCTGATCAAACGCTATTCACCCCCCCTCTAGCGTTGGTCTATTATTCTTACACCGGCGGCATCTGCCCGGATGACCAAGTGGGCGGTCTTTATCAGTCAGTATAACGTGGAATTCAGGCCATGCCCATCCATCAAGGGGCAAGCACTTTCCGACTTTCAAGTTGAGTGCACCGCTAGAGAAATGACAAGAGCCCAGGTTGAAACTCGGGAGGAGAAGGATTGGTGGATAATGAGCATCGATGGATCTTCTGGGTCTCAATCTTGCGGAGCATGTATCGTCTTGATCACCCTAGAAAAATTATGGATTGAAGATTCTTGGTAAGATGGGAGTATCCAGGGTTCAAGTTTACACCGACTCCCGATTAGTGGTGGGACAAATCACGGGGGAATTTGAAGCAAAGGAAGAGAGAATGAAAAGATACCGGGACTTGGCCTTAGAGATGTTGGGAAGGTTTGAGTTTAAGCTTGAACATATTCCCCGGGCCCAGAATGCGGAGGCTGATGTTCTCTCCAAGCTCAGCGCAGAGTCACCGGAATACATAAGCAAGTTAGCAACCATCGAAGAGCTGGTAACCCCTAGTCTTAACAGTAGTGAAGTGATCTCGGTATCAGCTCATCCCCCAGAGTGGCTGGACCGATTGGCCAAATACATTGAGGACGGTGAAGCCCTGGAGGATCCCCAAGAAGCACGTCTATTACGAATGAGGGCGCCAACCTACAAGGTGCAGTATGGAGTCCTCTATAAGCGGTCTTATAACGGTGTTCTACTCCGTTGCCTCAGAGCAGCAGAGGCGAAGGCATTGATGGAAGAAATACATGAAGGAGTGTGTGCTGCACATCAGGGTCCTTACTCCATTTCCAGAAGGGCTATTATCCAGGGGTATTTCTGGCCAACGATGAGGAAGGATTGCGAAGAATATGTACGCAAGTGCCTGACCTGCCAACAGTTCCAGAATATACCCGGGAGGCCAGCCACAAATTACACACCCATCATCTCTGTGATTCCCTTTTCGAGATGGGGAATCGATATTGTGGGAGCCCTGCCAAAAGGAGCTGGGCAGGCAAGGTGGATTGTGGTGGCGATAGACTATTTCACAAAGTGGGTGGAGGCCGAGCCGCTTGCGGGGATCACCGGAAGGCAGATGATCGACTTCGTTGGAACCAATATACTCTGTAGATTTGGGGTCCCGAAGCAGATCATATCGGACAATGGAACCCAGTTTGAGGAAGCAGAGTTTCAAGACTTTCTCAAAACTTGGGGAATTCAGCATACAAAGGTGTGTGTTGCCTACCCTCAGGCTAACGGACAAGTGGAGAATGTTAAAAGGACAATCATTGACGGAATAAAGAAGAAGCTACTTTCAGAGGGAAGTAAATGGGTAGATGAACTACCCAGAATCCTGTGGACATACAGGACGACTC